AGGAAGGGGCAGTGGGGGGGGGGGATGTTGGTGGCAGTGGGGGCAGGAAGGCTGCATGAGGGAGAAGTGGGGGGGCAGAGGGCAAGGGGGCCACTTGGCCCTTCCCCTGACTCCTGACCTCTCTCCCTTCCCTCTCCACTGCTTTCTCTGTGGTAGCAGTGGGGCAGGGGATGAATTTAAGACAACCCTGTGATAGTTTTCCAGGTATAAAATCTAATTAACAAATTTATAAATTTTCCAATATAAAATCTAATTATGGGGGGGTTGTCTTAAATTCATGGTAGACTTAGATTCATATAAATGCAGTAAACCAATTGTGGTGAGCTGCTCCAATAGCATGAATATCTGGCTTCATGGGCTGATCCCTTTTTTAGTTAGGGATGGTCACTCTATGCCTATATGTATGGGCTTAAAATAAAGAGCCTGTTCTGTATTTGGGAGCTGAAACTGGAAGCTGTATTTGTGAGCTGGGTAGGTGAAAAAAATCCCGTACTCCTAGTTTAAATGTTCTTCTTTGGTTCTAGGATTAACATAACCCAAAACATATAAAGTCACCCTTGCAACTTACTGCTTGGTTGGCAGATAGTCTACCTGATAGGACCCCCCATGCCCCCTCCCCCAACAAAGGGGCACCCTGAGACTTTATTGAAGAAACTAACAAGTTTAAATGTAGCAATGTGATTATTATTTTTTTTTTTTTTTTACTCGTCTTTCCAGACAAACAGGGACCTGAAGCAGTCAACCAGAACAAAGGAATTGACTACAATTTAGATGAGAATGAGGCTGAATCTGAAACGGACAAACAGGCTGCACTTGCAGGCAGTGAACATAATTTGCATGGTAAGAAATAAAACTGATTTATGCCCTTGTATATTGTGCAAAAAATGTTTTAGGGATGTGTTTTTACAGCTCAGCCCTTAAGTGGTTTCTGTGGGAGATGCAGCTGAGTGGAGTGCTGCTCATTTTTAGGTAACTTTGCCATTGAGAAGGTCTTTGAAAATGTTAAGGACCTGACTTCTGCTGTCACTGTTTTTATATTGCTGTAGTTGTGCTAGAGTTACCTCTGACTTAGATGAGAAGGGAGAATCAGGCGCACACTGCAGTTTCATTGTACATGACAATGCAAGCCTTACCATATACATCTGACTGGGGATGTAAATACCGATTAAATATTTGTTCACCCTGTTGTAATTACAACAGGTTAAACGATTAATCAGTTGGGTGCAGGGATAAGGATGGGGGCAGCAGTGCTGGGCTCCAGCCTGTGTCTTTGAGAAGTTAAGGAGTGGAGGGGGGTAGGTGCTGAGCCCTGGGCCTGTACTCACCTGCCCAGAGCAGTGTGGGGAGCCAGGAGCCAAAGCAGCCCTGCCCAGAAAGCCCAGGGGGCAGCAGCCAGTGAGGGGCTTTTACTAGCCCACTGCAGCTGCTGGCACACTTTGAAGGAGGGAGCAGGTAACCCCCTGTCCCCTCCCCTCCTCTCTTCCCCCCACTGTGCCTCACTCTTCTCTCCCTGTCTCCCTCTGCATAGCCTAATTATTACTTATTAGTCAACCCTCCCCCTCCTCTCCTCCTCCTCATTCATTTCTCCCTCCTTCCTTCCTGCCCTGCTGCTTTCTGGTTCCTGATGGAGCACCACAGGGCTTCCCTTCCCTCTGGGACCTTGCCCAGCCCCAGGCTAAGCAATAACTGGCAAGCTAGAACTGCTTATCACTGAGCTGATGGGTTAAACTGTTCACATCCCTACATCTGACATTGTATTATCCTAGAGAAACACAATTCTTTCAAATAAGGACAATGGTGAGCTTCTCTGTCTAATTATGTTTTTTTAGATGCACATTGCAGTGTAGGTTATCTTGGCTTGTATACTATTCTTTAAGGAGAATTTCATATACTTTTTCCTCTCCCTAATTAGTGCCAAACTCTGATCAGAACGTGAAAAGCCACTTACTTGGGCAAGCTGAAGAGGAGCAACAGAAGCTGTGAATAAGGAAGGTTGTCATGCGATTCAGATACCTATCAACAAATGCAGAGCCAAGGCAGCTGAGAAGGCTTGACTGTTGTCTCCTCACAACTTTAAGAAGAACCCCATATAAAGTAGATAACTGTTGTGAAGTCTTAGTCCTTTGTTGATTAAAACAATACCTTCTCTCTCTCCTGAGGTTTGTTTTTCATGCAGTTTTGACCTCTGTAACAAAACCAGCTCTCTTTCTGGCTAAAAATCGAAATGAGCTAGCAAAAGTTGTAGTAATGCTTTGAAACAATCAACCAAATTGTACACTCGTACCATAGCAACACTGTTTAAACCTCTCCCCCCACCCCCATCCTTACCTAAATCACTCCAAGGCTTGCTGCACTATGGATGAGGTAGTGTAAGGACAGAAAAACTAGCTTTAAATGAGTTAGTTTATGTACTTGGAAGTAGTTTAGCCCTATCAGCACAGAGCTTGATACCACCTAATTCACCCTGCCAAGGAGAGGGGTCTTCTAGCCTGTGCTGCTCTCCATGATGTGATGGTAGACTGCTTCCAGTATCAGAGCCAGCTTGGTTGGGTCTCTCTCATGACACTGCAGTATAGATATGCTACAGTTACATCTTGAATCCATACTTGTCCTTCAATGTTTATTTTATCTATAATACTTTTCTCTTGTACCTAATATTATCTGCCTGTTTACAGAATCTCCACCAAAGCTAGAAGACTTGGCCTGACCCCGCAAACTTTTTCTTGGCTTTTTTTTAATCCTTTTATGAGATCTGTTCTCCATACACAAAATTGGTACTTCCCATGGAAAGTCACTTAAGAGTAGTGCTGGAATCACATTAGCTAGGCAATAAGGATGAAGTGGCATTGGCCTATACAGTTCATTTTAGCAGAAGGATTTGTTTTCTGTCAGATTTATAGGCTTCTAAAGCTACTTATCACCTCTGAGGGAGGGTCTGAGCAGTTGTGCCATGTATACCCTTTACTTCACCCATGTAGTATTCCCTGCTGCAGAGATTAGCAAGTTGCAGGTTTTACTTAGAACAAAACTTGCCAAGCATCTTCTTCACAGGGTAACTAAGGCCATTGTGCAGTTAGAAGGCATGATTCTAAAAAGCCCCACAAGTGACCCTTACATATATTGTGAAGTGCTGCTTTATGCACAACCTACCTTATTGCCAGTAAGGTTTAATAGTTTTTATTACAAGTTGTTGAATGTGCTCATTGTGATAAAACATACAATACCTCTTAATGCAGGTCATACTTATGGGAGCCCTAGACCCGAGTTGTTACAAGAAGACCTGTTAGAAAGTAGTTTAAATTGGAAAAAGTCCACAGCACTCTGATCTCTTGTCACAGAGCATTATTCGTACCTTATCTGTGCTCCTCTGTTCTGTGCCATGTTTCACTTGCGCACTTCACTAACAGCAGGGAGCCGAAAGGGCTTTGGCTTTTGGTATATATGGTTGCCTGAAGAAGCCTGTAGGCTGTAGCTTAGCATTTTGCAATCCAAAAAGAAAAGCGTTTTAAACCAACCTGTGTCTGCTAAGTCTAAGCATTTGTATCCGTTTGTGTCTGTACACTTTATTTCAATGAAGAAAGGGTAGTGGGCATGACTTAACTGTGCAATCATTTGTACAATAGAAGGAAATTATACTTTGAAGCAAGGGAAATCTGATTCATAATTGTATTTTAATGCACTTTATTTCCTTACCAGTGATGTACTGCATGTCTTCTTTTTTAGCAATGCTGTATCACAGCGCCAGGAGTAGAGCTACAGTAACTTGAGAGCTCTAGTGTATGACTCAAAGGTTTTTATTTTACAATTAAAAAGTAATTGTCCATCCGGTAAATGATGTGGCACTCGGTTAAGATTGAGTAAGCCTGGCCTGTTATATAAACCACAAATGCACACTTGACAAGTTTCTTGAAGTGTTCTAAGAAAGGAACTATTCTCCTCTAGCCTTCACTACACAATACGTTGTAATACAGACAGAGAGCAGTATTACACTCCAGAAAAATTTCCTCTCAGTGTACTGAATCAAGTAGCAGGACTACTTTGTCAGAATTAGAGAAGAAGGAGGAACACAGACTTAAGCATGGATTGATAAAGTTAGGATGTGTAATGCCTTTTTTTTAATAAAAGTTGTTATGGTCTTACCACTTCAATCATTTTGGACTGTTGCAAGCCGCACTGCTTACACAGCTTCAAAAATCAACGTTAATGATGATTCACTGAACCACAACCTATTAGGTAAGGGTCTAGTCATCTAATCTAGTTTTTTTCATATTATAGGAATAGAGTCCTAGTCTACTTTCATATTTATTTTCATGCAGGTACGCAAGTCAACTGCAGCTGTAATAACTGCACATTATGCAAAATGTAAAACAGTTTTGGAAACTAACCTGTACATAAAATTTTACTTATTGGGTGCATCTACACATTTATTAATGCGCTTTTTCTAATGCACATTAAATTCATTACCTCCATTGTGAGGTACTAGAAAAGGTGCATTAGTCTATTTTAATATGCATTAGCAAAAGTGCATTTTTGTGATGCTTTAATGTGCATTAAAATAGGCTAATGCACATTAAAGCGCATGTGTAGATGTGCCCAGTGAGCATTACAGTCTAGTAGAAGGTACTGTACAAAGAGTGATCTCAAGTTGAACAGATGGGCCTTGACTTTGATGTGGTTGGTAAAACCTGGAATTAAAGAAATGTATATACTGTTTCAGTTGTCTTGTAAAACTAGTCTCTCTTGGCTGTAGGAATAAGCCCAAATATAATGAAGTCAATTAAGGGTTGTCATATGTAACTATTTTTCAAGGGCAGGAATCCTGTGATTTTAAGTAGCTTTGTATGTTGCTTAAAACATTCATTTGTATTTGCTCAGATGGGGAAGAGTCTTCTGAGCCATTATGAACTTGGGGGAAGTTGTGTTTAGTCTTTGTTAAAAATACATTTGTGCTTTTTTCTAATTGAAGCCTGAATGATTTTAGATAAACCTTTTAAAATAAAAACGAAATCCTTCTCACGTGTGCATTCACTTACTTTGAACAGTCAGCCCAGCATTGTTTCCTGTGTTGGCCTGGGGGTGGGGGCAGGAGGCTGTTCCATTTATGTACACTTCTGCTTTATCTGTTCCATAAATCACAGGTGTCAAACATCTGATTTGGCCTGTGGAGCCTCTCTGTCCAGCCATTGGAAGTTGGGGGTGTGCCTGCTTCAGAGGCCCTTTGTCCTGGTGGCCATGACTGTTGGCAGTGAGTTCAGCTCACCACTGCCATGGTGGCTGTGGTGGCCACCCCATGTCCTAGGATAAATCTGGCCCAGGGCCCTAAGTGAATTTAACACCCCTTCCATAAATGATACTGTACTGAAATCAGTAACTTCTCAACACATTACCTACTGGCCAGCTTTGTGGTTTCCTTTACAAGGGTGAGCTCTCTCTATTTAAACCATGTTATTAGGGCAAGAAGGGAAGCTGTTGGATAGGGCTGACTCCAAAGCAATGTATTTTAAAGGAATATGTTGCTTTTGATCAAAAGAGTCTTTTGAAGTGACTTTTTTGTTTCTGAGTTCAAAATTAGAACAAAATGATAAAGGAAAAGCTTTTGCCTGAGTCCCTCTCTGCCTGGAGATTGCATTCTGCTGGATGTTTCAGCTTTCTTCTTGCACACTAGCTCTCGACAATGAAGTAGGTAAATGTGCAGGTAGACTAGGAAGTGCCCACCTTGCTCAACATACTAGCATTCTTTAACTTGCTGAGGGCTCTGTAATTTGATCATAGACTTTAAGACTAAGGTTGGCCACCTAGGAATGGCTGAATACAGAAATTATTTTCTGTTTGCTTTGTGCAAAAAGTAAGAAATAAGTGTAGGTAGATGCACTGTATCTCTTAGTATATTCTTTATTGCTCTTAGCACACAGGATAAATGAGGTAGCTTACCTCTGGATGAAGCCAGGTTAAATTACCACAGCTTAGTTCAGGGGTGGGCAATTATTTTGGGCGGAGGGCCACTTACCGAGTTTTGGCAAGCCATTGAGTGCCACATGACAGGCAGCCAGGGACAGATAAATATAAATTTTCTAAATTTTTTTAGGTGCCCTACAGGCTGGATAGAATGGCCTGGCAGGCCAAATTTTGCCCACCCCTGGTTAGCTTCACCTACCACAGGGTGGGAGTGGACACAGCAGTTACAATGGAGAAGCTGAAGCCTGTTTATAGGTGGCAACCCCCTGGTAAGGAGTTTTTAACTTTGCATGAACTGCACCCTGCCTTATTTTTTCCAATTTACAGCTAGATCTGGGTGTGACACAAATATTGCTGGCTTTGTTACTGGATATGGCTCTGGCTCTGAATTATATACATCCATGTACATCCTGCTATCACTCAGCAGCATTCAATACACCTGGGAGACACTTGATTTGCCTTGGAGGAATGTGTATGAATACAATGAAAGGCCAAGTTTCTCACTGAAAACACTTGAGAATCAGGATGGGCAAGTGCACTGCCAGCTGTGTTAGCACAAGCCAGTTTTTCAAAGGGGCTCAGTTCCTATACAGGCTCATGTTTGCTCCCAGGCATTTTTTCCTAAAAATCTGGTCATAAAGGAAATGCTAAATTTGAGCAGCACAGAAAGGAGCTGAACTCTTCAAAAAGCTACTCCCATATTTAACAGAGGGTAACCATTCAGTGCCTCAAATGCCTCAAGCAGGAAAAAAGATGGCCTCTAAATCTCTCTCAGCATACCCTAAGTACTTATATGCTAGAAATAACACTTTTATCACTAAGGCAAAGTCAGATAGTTTAAGCTAAATCTGGGCAAGAGAAATTCTTTGAAGAAAGTTCAAATTATGACATTTTAAATTCAAGGAGTTTGTCTGTGAGTATCAACAGTCTGCAGTCTCCTATAGGTGCCACCAGGTTTAAAACAGTAAGTTACAAACCATGCAATTATTCTTTCAAAAAGGTTTAATATCTGTCCAAAATGTGATTAATATTTAGACAACTTCCAGATAATTCAGGATGGCATAATCTAATTCCCCTCATGCTCCACTGCCTCTCCACTGAAGATGAATTCATATTTTTTGCTCAGATCTTCATGGCTTTTAGGGGACAAGACCCAGCCTCTGTTACCATGACTCAGTATGACAGTTTGCCTCTCAGAAAAAGTGGATTTATTAAACAGAAGGGTGAGACTTGTCAGAACACAACAAATCAGACCATGCACCTTACCACGTTCAGGACAAATTTCATGGTTCACATGCACCATAGTTTGAAGTGCCCCCCCGCATAAACTTACTGCTCATTTGAGAGAAAGGAAGAATATCCACAGAGCAATCAGCTGCCATTAGAATTAAGTGGTGTAACTATGTAAGGTACTTGGATGTTTAGGTAGAGAGAGTGGAAGTGATCAGTGACCAGTTACAGATGAGTTTTTGCACCCAGAGATCTAATTTTTTGAAGAAGATCCTTGAGATTTTTCTTCTCTCTTTCTTCAACCCTAGCTTAAACTGGAGATCACATACACTTCTTTTCCAGTTTACAGAAGTAAAGTTACGGTTTTGAAGTTGACATTCCATTTAATTTGTCTTTAAAATTTAGTATCTTTTTAGTAATTCTTTCCAAAGCATTAACAAAACAGGATCAATAAAGTAATTAAAAAAGATAAGATTTTCCCCTGACGGGACCCAACTTCAGGACTTGTGGCACTTTTGAAATGACATCACCACCACCCAAAACAGCATCTGTTTTTTTTAAAAGGACTAGTGCCACTTTAAAATAGGAAATGAAGGTATGTGAATCAGGAGACCTCCAGCCCCTGAGAACAGCATGTGGTTATTCCCAGGAAGTGACTGTAAAAATTGGACCATCTTATTCCTGAAGTTTACTGTATGTGTACTCTGACTTGTATGAATCCTTCCAGCCCTCATCCCTAGGAACCTCAAGTGGTGAGGAGACTTTTTCTGGGCCAGCTGAGGAAAGAAAATCAGAATCCTTGCTAAGGGTTATCCCTCTACTTGGGGGCAGGCAGTTTTCTCATGGGTTTGGGGAAGGGCTCTGAAGTTAATTGCCTGGACAGAAATGTGGTGGCTTAAGTTTGCTCTTCACTGTGAATGATATAAAAACCCTTGACCCTTTCGTTCTGGAGGCACTATTCTGTCCTGGGAAGGAAAACTGTTCTCTTCACCCTTCTTGGATTAGAATAAAGACTGAGCTGTGGGCTGCTGCTAGTCCTTTTATTAATGATGGAAGAATTCCTCCCTGCCCCTAGCAATTTGGCTTCAGTCATCCCTTCCTCTCACCCAGCCAGGCACCTAGTGGTAGGTTGGACTGCAAAATTCTTTTTTTCCACTATGTGGCAAATGCTAGAGCAAATGATGCTTTCACAGAGGTTCCCGGTTTCCTGATAAACCAGAAATGGAAACAGATCAGGAAAAGTAATTTCCTGAAGGTGAGGAGATCTGGGGTTCCTAATGTCTGGTTACAGTGAGGACACAGTTCCTGCTTCCTCAGCCTGTTAACTTCCATAGAAGAATAGGTGATGGGGTCCTAGGAGCAGTGTAGGAACCAGATGAAGACAGTAGGTGGCTGACAATACTTCTCCAGGAAGTGGAAATCAAAAAGGAAGGAAGA